CTTCAATTTTGTAGTTTTGAAATATTAACCTTTTGCAAGTTTCGAAAAAACGAAGTTCTTCGAAAATGGGACTAGCACCATATTTTTCACCGTCCCTTCGCACATACGAGAAAATTGGAAGATTTTTTTGAGAAAATAAGTATTTTAGAAACTGCATAAATTTCAAGAACAAATTACACGAAAACTATCCGTTTCTTAAAAATATATTACATTACCGTTTTTAAAGATTTGGTTTTTTAGAAGAAAATAAAGTAAAAATATTTATTTAAATTTGAAGATTTGAAATGCTAACTTTTGGCAATTTTTGAAAATAAAGTTCCCCGAAAATGGGACTAGCAATATATTATTTACCTTCCCTTGGTACATTCAAGGAAAAAATTTGAAGAAAATGTTTGAGAAAATAAGCATTTTAGACGTCCATATATACGATGAAAAAAATTAAAGGAAAAATTTGGAGCGGTTTTTGAAAAGAAACTGTTTTTAAACAAATTTAATTACCAATATTCCGCGCTAGATTATTACACGAAAACTACTCATGTTTCCGAAAATTTGAACATGAGGATATTTAAGAAAGAGAGGAACTTGGAAGAGTGAAGCCTCCAGCAATGCACGAGGCACTGAAGGGCGCAAAGACTGCATTACGATACTTCCAGACAATGGACAATGCAGGATCAAGTCAGTGGCGGGTCGTGCCACGGTTGCTCAATCCCCAGATATAACCTAAAAAGATCTCTTTTTATCTTAGGAATATACATATTCTTTTTAATGACATTCAATATTCAAGACATTGCAACAATATTGATGTATATGAAATCGATTTTAAACCAAAGAGCATTAAATTGCCGCTCTCTCCGATACCTTCCTAGATATTGCACAACGCTCTTGGATTTGGCTGTATTACTGGATTTACTGATTTTACTCTTTGGCCATTCGATTTAACGCGGGCAACGTAGGGCATTTTGGTTGGGCAACTAGACGGGTAGCGCTGTCTAGCGCTGCGCGGCGATGGAGGGAGTCTCGAGGGACTTTTATCTTCGTCTAACTCGCTGTAATGTAATTTTATGAATATTGCTTGTTCTTGAAAGTACAAAAGTTCAGTTAATTATTGACGGCATTTAATGCATTATTTATGATGTTTAGAGAATTTGATTTCGTTTCATATTACATGTACAGATTTAAAATGTACACTTGATGAGTTCTTTGAGTAAAGTTGTAGAGTTGTAGTAATTGTAGAGCGAAAATATTATTTTAAGATTAATAAAGAACAATAAAAACCTCTTCCTAAATGGCAATTTTTTTTTTTTTGAAAAATTTGGTACCGTTTTTAAAAAACTAGCGTTTCAGCGCTATTGTAAATTAAAAATTTGGAGCTCTTTAACACAGAAAATTGTTGAGTTTTCGAAAGCCTTTATTACAGATCATTCAACGTACTTTAACCCATAAATACAGTAGTGTTTACAAATTGCTGAAATATGCATATCAACTGCGTAAGAGATCTTTAAAAAAATACATTTCGTAATTTTTGAAAAAAATTCGCCGAAATTGACTTTACGTCATATTAAAGAGTGGAATTCGCACCATCGGTTCGAAATGTTTGAAGAAAAAAATTGGAGACGTTTGTGAGAAAATGGTGTTTGAGTGTTTCTGGAAATGCGAAATTTTGGGCTAGTTTTCACAGAAAACGGTAGAGTATTCAAGAAACTTTCTGAGACATTAATTAAAGCACATGTACACATAATACTCGTATAATGATGTGAACAAATTGCCGCTGAGAAAAATATTAACATGAGAGACAAAAAAATTACATTTATATAATTTTTGAAAAAAACATAAGAATAAAGCAATAAGGCGTTTGTTACCTTATAGAGTGCATTTAGCACAATCCCTACCAAACGTTTAAATAAAATATTTCGAGTCATTTTTGAAAAATCATTTTTGGAATTCTTTAAAACTACAAATATTGCACGCAATATTGCGTAAAAACTACTAAAAATACGAGCTAGATCGACACGGGTATCTTCAATTTGAAAAAAAAACTACGCATAGTTTAGGCGATAGTAGGGTTCACAAGCGGACGGTCGTTTTGAAAAGTACTTTTTCGTTATCAGGGGACCGACCCCAAAACGTGTATTCCGTCAAAATCTCGGAATCCATTTTCCGCAGCATTACCTACATTTCTCTATATTATGTATATTACTTCGTATATACGCACGTATACGGGAAAGTAATATGTATTATTTGCTGCAACATAATACATATTGCCATTTACATCCTTGCCATTTCCCTGGTTTTGAGGTGTCAGCATCCACCATTATGTTTTTTCTGGTTTCCTGCAGGAACTTAACGATGAACGTCAAAGGTGGTCACTAATTAGCATTCTCAGTTTACAGTAAGCATAGCCAAACCTCACCACTCACCAAAGGTTCTAAAATAAATTACTACCCATAATTGGTATTTCTGGACTGGGAGAACTGGGATTTGGGAACAAAGGATTCTAAAAGGAACGTAGAATATGTTATAGGTGACATATATGAACTTGTAACAACAGCAAGAACAAATATCCCTACTGCGAAATTAATCTTGAATGGTTTATTGCGTAGGAGAGACACTTACTGGACCCGCATACGCCTAATCAATGACAGCATGGATTGAGCGGCGAGTAGTTTAGGTGTCCAGGTGGTGGATTCTAACGCCTGGGTCGCTATGGCCTCCTCCTCAACATGAGGCTGGCATTACATTAGCAATACGTTTCCGCAATATCTTTCAGCAATTTGTTTGCGCTTCTTGCGGTCATCTTTACACTAGCAAGAGCAAGTAGGGGCAATATATTGTCAGAAAGATCTGAGCAAGATCTTTCCGGCAAGATATTGCCGATCGCCTTACATTAGGACCATTTGTTGCCGTGTTTGGGGACGGCGCGAGGGAAATGGCGCATGAAATTAAGAGAGGTTATACCTCACTCACTTCCCGACAAAACTAGTGGAAGGCAAAAAACGCGAGTTGCGGTCCCACTTATTGTGCTAAATGGTGTGATGAAGTAACGACGACGATTTGTGAGGACATGTGACAGTTTTAAGAAGAAAGGAAAAGGGGGCTTGTGCGAATTAGGTAGAAGTGTCGGAATATTTTTCTTAAAACAAAATGATTTCGTGGAATTCGATTCCCGTAGGAGCAAAGTAATTGTCTTTTAATAAAAAAGTGCATTTACTAATTGGGTAAAAGGGTTTAAAATATCCATTTTCTACTACAGATGTGTTAAAGAGTAATCTTAAAATTGATTTAGATTAGATTAATATCTTAATAATTTTTAACGTACAAAATTAATAATCAGGGGGCATCTATAACTGAACCAAAATTTGAACCTTTGATAATCAACCATAGAGGTATTATTTATTACTCCTTTTATTGTCTTAAGCTTTTTCATGCATCCATTTTACGAAAAAATGCATGTTAAAATGGAAATACTACGTCTATGTACTACCGCACATACTTCCTGCGCATGTGACAGTCGTCAACATTGACTTCTTCCAGCAATATCTTGCTCATACTTCATTCCAATTCTAGTCCCAGCTACAGCCGGCAATATCTTTTCGAGGGTGGAAACACACGGGTTTACATTACGATCGGAATATCTAGCAAGAAATATTGCCAACATCAGAAATATTTATTGCCGTGATGTTTACATTGGCAACTTTTCTTGCGAAATAATATTGCTCGTCATTTTCTTGCAAGTGTAAAGCCAGCTTGACGGGTGCCTCAAAGTCGTTTGGCGCTTATTGTCCAAGATCGGCGGGCATGCGGCCGCAGGGGATCCCGGAGCAGCTGAGAAGAAATATTCTATTTCCTATAGTTCCCTATCTATAGAATATTCTGTTCTATTTCTCTTTGTACAATCCATTCAGGTAGTGATAAAATGATCTGCCGATGGATAAAGGTCATTGGAAGATGGAGAAATAAACGCCAAGGAAATCTTTTGAAATTTCTAATTGTTTGTGGCTAGTTTTGAGATTTTGAGAAATTGCGGGGAAAATCCTTTTTGGCAGTAAATACTGAACTGTACGGTGGGCTGAGTGGGCAAATGGACCACGCATACCCTTCACTCCTTTCGTTCACTTAGTCCCGTGTATACTCGTAGTACGATTAGTTTGTATACAATTAATATATTTATATTTTAAAATATTTACTTAATTATTTTACATTCCCGTATACGTGGTATAGGAATAATTATGCAGTTGCGGAAAATCGGTTTCCAGGGAAATACACGTTTTGGGTCCCCTGACACCAAAAACATTTTTCTCAAAACGTCCCCGGGTAGGGTTTTTTTCCAAATTGAAAAAAGCAGTGTCGATCTGGCTCGAGAGGAATCTTTCAGGGGGGAAAAAAATCTTTAAAATTCGGACGTATTGTGTATAAAAGCCCTCGGACATTTTCAAAACATTCTTAATAACTGCTCCAATATTTTTCTTTAAATTTCTTGTAAGAATAAAGTGACATACAATTAACGTGGAATAGGTCTGATTTTCATGGTTAACTCAGATTTTTCGGGGGTTTTCCTGTAACTAGCAAATTGAAATATGTTTCCTTCAAATAAAATTTACACTTTGGAGTGAGTTCTTTCATTAAGGTCGTGTATTTTTTTTTTCTTTTTTTTTAGTTTTTACACATTACATTAAAACAATATTTTCTTAAAAACTGCTCCAATTGTTTTCTTCACACTTTAGGTGGGGTGTTAAATATAACAAAATAGGCATTTTTTTCTATTTTGTTTTTAAAAATCACAAAACTAATTATTTTGACATCTTGCATTACTATTTACATTTTCAAAAATTGGTGTAAATTTTATGATCTCTCATGCCATTGATATGCACATTTCCAGCAGCTTGTAAACACAATTGTATTTTTGAGTTAAGTACTGAAATTGACTTCAAAAAAGTTCTAAATCTCAAAAATTTTGTGAAATAGCTTCAAATTTTAAATTTACAGTGCTTAACCAGTTTCTTAAAATCTGCTCCAAATACTTCAATGAAAATTGCCATTTAGGAATAAGTTTGCCACAAGGTATCTCCCTCCAGCAGTTCAAGCTCTAAGCTCCTGGCATGTGGTAGAGTAATGCATGTAAGCAGGTGTCTGTAGGTGGGTGAGGATAAGACATGGTATTCACTTTGTATTGATCGGAAAAAACACAAAACTACCTATTAGAGCAGCATGTTGCTAGAATTCTCCTCCAGTGACTGAATTTCACCAAGCTGACAAGAGTGGAAAATCCTGCCACTATAGGGACTTGAACCCAGGATCTCCCGGTCACAGGGACTGGAATGACATCAGTGCCCTGAGCGTTCTCTTCCGGCATCTCCGTAAGAAGCCCTCCCAAAAACAAGATGTCTTAAGAGAGCAGCAAATTATTAGGCCAATTGCAGAAATAGTTCAACAGCAAAAACTATGACAGAATTTGATGATAAGTGTATATTCCATTGTAAATTCGAAAGTAGTCATGGCAAAACATTTATCAAATCCATAAAATGTAACATACTTATCACAAGGGAAGAGATGGTTTCAAACATTTCATCTTCAATAAAAATTTTATTCAGATTTTTTTTTTTTAATTATCAATAAATATGGTCAAGTCTTTAAAAATAATTAAAATAACCTAAAAGTTCTTCCTAAAGCCTTCGTCTCCAAAAACTAACAAATTCCCACCAAGTATAATAGTCTGTGTCCTATAGTCTGATAGTAGGTTTTATTCAAACTTCTTTATAAGAAGAAATTTTAATCAATACACCTACATGATTGACCGCACTGGGTATGCCAATCTCTTAATAATTTATCCACATCCTTTATTTGTAGAAAAATTATAAACACCCTTTTCTAGTTTAGCCTGCAATTCTGACACCTGAATTTTCACTATCACGAAAAAATTTGCAGGTATGGGTACGATAAATCCGTACAGCTGCACATTTTTCTATTGAAAAATGTGAAGGGACAGTTTTAATTATCTGATATAGTCATTTCAATTTCCACCATACACTTCTGCAATACCTAGAATCTAGCTTAGTTTCGAGTGCAAGGAAGTCTTTGCCTCTGTGGCACAACTTAGTTCTGTATGTTCAGTTCTATCAGATTCATTGTCGAGCTGAAAATATTCGACATCTGACAGGACTATTTTGGTTTCCAACACAAAATTCTAGTGGCAACAAAAACCATGTCCTACCATGGAACAAAATCCAGTGTGAATTAGCTGCAATTCAGCTGCTGTGAATTTCATCTGCCATGCAGGTCCGAGCATGCCCATAAGCCACCACATAATGCCAACATTTTCACATAGGGTGTGGATATTTCACACCTGTGGGAGCCCTAAATAGTTTCCTCAAATGTTGATATGTGGTGGTCAAGGGACTGTTGGATTGAGATTAACGATAGCATTTATGATCTTTTTATAGTAATTTACTATTATTAAATTTCAGGCCCTCTAGCCAGATGAATGAAAGAAAGCAACTGAAAGAAAAATCAGTAAACAGTTAATCAAAAAATATGTTTATCTTTCTTTATTTAGGTCAGGTTCAAGCAGCAAAATCAAATGAACTTAATCAAAGAGACCAAAACCCATGTCGTCATCTTCACTTTCAGTCTCTTCCTTCTTTTCTTCTTTCTTTGCTTCAGCTGCAGGAGCAGCAGCAGCTGCAGGAGCAGCTGTGGTTGCAGCAGCAGCTGCAGCAAATTTGGAGGGGTCCTAAAACAAATTAACATCTCAGGTAAAAATCTTAAGAAAAGCAGATTATAAAAAATTACACAATTTGGCGAATTTCATTTTCAAGTTATAAATAAATTAAGCATAAGAATTTGCTGATGGGATTAAACACAACAGCATTTGAAAAATTCACAGATACAACCAGTCACCATGGTTGAGATGACTATAGTCATTTTACTTTACTAATGGGAAAAATAGGTCATGATATGCCACCGGTTTATCCACAAGCCTTTCAGCAAAGAGTGAATAATCAGTACATAATGGCCTATTATCTACATATAATGTACAATGATGTCTTATCAATTTGCCCTATTAAGATACAGTTTTTAATCAATACGCCTACATTAATGGTCATGACTACAGCAATGCATGATATATTTTCTTTGGCATAAGCAATTGTATGATATTCTATATTTGCTATCCATGTAGGAAGTGGACAACAAACAATTCAGGTAATTTCAAAAAATGACGAAATTGAAACTAACAAATGAGGAAGAAGCAGAATATATCAAAGAGGAAAGTAATTAAATAGATATGTTTGGTATATGAAAAAATATTTTATATGAACATTTACCATGAACTAAATGTTGCTAGGCAACATTTACTAAATGAGCCATTTTATCAACTCCCCATCAGTAAACAACAAAGAAAAGCAATTGGATAAGACAAAATAAGAAAAGTTCTGGCTGAAACTTTATTATAGCCAACAAACTTACATTATAGCCAAGTAATTTTCTGAAGACCTTGCACGATATTTTTTGAATAATTTAAGATGGTAAATCAGGAAGTCACTAGCACTATTACCCATTTTAGTACAATGTTATAAACATCAAAATTAATTAAAATTAAATAAAAGAAACATTAAGTACCTTTAAGAATTCCTTCACTGTTTCAGCTTCCTTGAATTCCACTTCAGTTGCGGCAGCAATTGCCAAAAGGTTTTTGAAGCCATTAATTATGCTGTGAGGAGCTGAAGCAATGGTTGGATAACTTATGGATAAACACAGAGCTGCCAAACGGCTTACTCCCTGGAAAGAAAAAAAATTAAAATTAATTATATTTGTTTAAGAAGTGCCTCGCATATGATGCAAATAGTGGAATTTCATTTTAGAGTCAACCTACATTTATATACGGAAACAACAAACTCCACATTAATCAAAGTGACTCAGATCTAAATGTAGCTCAACAAACTTCCAGAAACCAAAGAAAATAGCACTTTACCAACTAACCAGGAGCAAATCAAGCATCAAACACCAGTATTAACCCTGGCCGCCATTAATCGCATATTAAATTTTTTTCTAATAATTTTTGTTCCGGAAACATTTTTCATGTTAATTTTTTATCTTCAGTTAACACTTTCATTTGTTTTACTGTACATCTTTGTTTTTTATTTATAATTAGTATTACACAGAACATAATTAGTATTGTTTTCCACATGAACAAGTGGATCGCAATACTAAATGTTATTATCTCTTATGATAATTTACTTAACAATTAATAAATGTTATTGTGATAATTAATTAATTGTTGTTAAAGAATATCAAGATCTCCAAACTACATACCTCCATAAACTTGACCCTCAAGTCTTCAGGTTTTATATCCAGAATCGCAGGTTCAAAAATTGTTCCAGAGTCGTACACCATCTCCACAAGTAATCCATATGAAAATGGGGATATATTCAACATATTCAGAAGAGTGGCATCGCTAGCACCAACTTTGTCTCCTTCTTTCAAAATATGGACATCATTCTAAAAACAAAAATGAAGTTGTAAAATGTACACCATTAAATAATTACAATTTATAAAACATGTAATGTATCATTACAATGTATAAAAGTTGTTTCAACTTACACCAGATACAAGAAATAAATATTTTTCAATACTTGGAAAAATGAAATATCATTAATGGGACAGATGTTTACACAAGTTTGAGCTCTAAAATATGCACGCAAATACATGCCAGTAATGTGTAATTATTGGATATTATTTGATATTTAATGAAACCATAGTGTTATCCACAATTTATTGTAACTCATTATGAAAGTACTTTTGCACGAACTTTTCTTTATTAATAGACCTTCTGAATTCAAAGCCATACTTTGTAGTAGGAAAAATCACATATACAGTTTCATTTATAGAGGGAACCTGGATATAAATGCATACTATTTTCATTCACTTTAAACATTTACTGAAGATATTGTTAAATTGTAGGTGAACCAGATTCTAGATGAAGGTAGCATATTTAAGTATGAAGTAATGAGTTTGGCCAAAGTAAGTTGCAAAATTTTGTTGAATAAGACATCAAGATAGAGTACATTCCCTTCTGTTACAAATTCATTATGATGTAAAATATAGTTAATCATTAAATAATGTAAAATTTAGTTTATCAGTAATTGATGTTAATGATGTATCATTTCCTCTGAGAATGTGTTGGGTTCTCCACTATATTTTTTATATACAATACAATGCTTTTTTATACTATACTGTACTTTTTATATTCTTGAATTTTGAGTACCAACTTTGACTACAATGTTGATCTAAGGCTTCCTTACAAAAAGCTACACAAAAATAATAATTGTTTTAATTAATTCTAAATTGCTATTAATAAATTTTTATTTTGACACTTTAGTTTGAAATTTGCTTTTGCTATTATTTAATCTCATGTGCCCTCGTGTATTGTTTTATGCAATTCCACTAAATTTAAATAATTAAAGTCCACTGAAAACATTTTTGAACACTAGGCAAAGCAAGTTGAGAATTTTCCTGAAGTAAAGGATATTACTATAAATTATGGGAAAAGGATGAGGACGGACAGTGTAGCATCACATTTGCTGTCCTGCATGAGAGAATGGAGAAGCCTCTCATACCTGAGAACTGAAACCAGCAACCTCAGCATTGAGGGTGGTAAATATTTTTAGGTCATATGGAGTTAAGCCGGCGAGTATAAATTGGGCCGACTGTCTCGTGCCAGCAGGTTTTTGTTCTTATAAACCTTGGGCTTTGCGCAAAATTCATGCTCAGGCTGGGAGTTATTCGTGCGTTACACATGGAGTAGTGTAGTAGGAGCATACACTAGGTTGGGCCTTTAATTTTTACCCACAGGTGTGTACCCACAGGATGGTACAATCGTGGCTGATGGCCGGGAAATTCTGGAAAGTGTGTACAGAATAGTTCGTACATTTTCTAAATAAAACTATATACTTGTCAGTGTGGTTACTTCCAGGACGCCACAACAGAAAAGTCAGGGTAAAACATTCATAGAAAGTATAATCTTACGTTTATGACAATATTCAGGTTAATTGACATTTCACAAAGAAGGATTATTAATTTTGATTTAATTATCTTAGAGCAGTTTGTGAAAATCACTTGTCATGTTTAAGATTACAGTCTATGGTTTCGGATAATACAAAATTTTGCCAAACAGAACTGTGAGAATATAGTATTCTGTATTTCTGAGCACACATTTAAGCTCTCATTACTAGAATTGGGCCATTAATATAATTTTTAAGATTGGAATGCATCTGTAGAAGCAAAGTCCACCAGAAGAAGTCTAAGAGGTAAGAAATATCTTATTAAATACACTTTGCGCTAACATTACTCATTTGATTAAAATCCTCCTATTGTTTATTCACTTTTAAAGGTCTATAAAAAAATGTAATAAACTATGTAATACTATGACTAGTTTCATAAATTGTGATCTAAGTGTTTTTAAAATTATTTTTTTAATTAGTAAATAGGCCCGCTTAAAAGTAAATTTATTAAAAGGTCACGTTTGCAATATATTTTGTTAGGTTATGTTAATAAGACAAAAATACTCATTTTGTGAAAATATTTGCAATGTCATTAACAAGGAAGTTTGCCTATAGATCACTTAAAATTAGATTTTTATTTGCACAAAATATTAGTCAATTTCTTAACTTGAAAATCTTGATGTCTTACTTAACTTAAGTTCACACTTTTACAGATGAGAGTTTGAATTCTAACAAAACCAACACAAAAATTATCACATGGCGAAAAAGACTTGCATGTCCAAAAGAATGACCCTGACCGATAACAAAAAAAACAGCCCACAAGCTAGGAGTGGCTGAAAATGTAAGCATAGAAGATTAAATTACGTAACAAGTATTAATGAACCGGCTTCCCAAACTCAAATTTCATTTGTGAAATACTACTCAGGCTTTGGAAATTCTCTGATAAACCCTCTCCTTTCTTCACAGGTCTGGGATTTATTGATAATTTCCAAAACACTCTTGATATTACTTATGATACAACAATTTACTTTTATTTACTTAGCAGATAACTATTTCATAGTAAAATTTACTGAATTAAAAAACTTCACTAGGTACGAGCTCCAAAACCTATAATAAAAGAATGAATGTGGATCTAAGACCTCCACAAGTGTAGAGTCTTGAGTAATTGTGAGTATGTGTTTACTGTATGCTCATGATGGCAATTGTGGTACTATACAAGTCACCTGTGTCCATCAATGAACAATTGTTATCCTCTTTATGCGCTGACAAGGCAAATCAAATCAATCTTGCCTCGTGGATGAAAAGAGGGTACATAAAATCAGTAACAAGAACCTTGATCACACAAAAATAGAGAAGTCACACATACCAATTTTTGTTATTTATCTTTTTATTCACTGCAACTCATTTCACAATGATTAATTATCTTAACTCGACCCTAATGCCTAAAACCTGTCACCATTGGCTGCCTATATTCCATATATTTCGTTATAAGATGTTTTCAAAATACAAATTTATTTTTCACAAATGTCCAAGTCCTATATTGTCCTAAGAATCTCTAATGTCCCATACTTATCGTTTATGTTGTTCTCTAATGCAATATTCCTTAGAAAAAAAAAAAGAAAAAAAATGATCTTATTGGAAAAACTAATTATCAACAAGTTTAATTTGAAGGGAAAACCTCAATTCAATTGTGTAGTTGAAGGAAGAGGCAGAAAATAATTCATACTTTTGAAATTTTTGAAAATTTATAGTTAACGGTGAAAATTGGACCTATCCCACAATTATAAGTGTATTCTTAAATATTTTTTTTAATTTAGAGAAGTTTTTGAGAAAATTTTGAAAATGTCCGGACAGCTTCATGTAAAGTTACCCCAAATTTTAAAGAATGTTTTTTCAAAACATCGAAGTTTCAAGCCAGAGAGCAAGGGTTTCAATTTGGGAAAAAAAATCCTACGCACGGTTTAGTACTGTTGTTCACAGACGTACGGATGTTTTCAAAAGAACCACTTTTTCATTAAAGGCGAACCCAAAACATTTCTGTTGAAATCTCTAAATCGATTATGCACAGCATTACATAATTTCCCCTATATTAAGTATACTAGCAAAATGTGGAGTCGCCAATGCAGAACTGTTTTAAAAAGTGTTTCATGTGTTGAAAATCTTTCATACTGCATTTCCTACAAGCCCAGCTTTGTTTAAAAATATTCTTTCAGAATCTGGAATTGGATTTACCAATGAATCGTAGTAACTGATATAATCCCATTCAAAAGTCCCTTACACCCAACGGCCTAGTGTTTCTCCTGTACGAGAAAACTGGTTTTACTGCAATTTCACAATTATAATAGCAATAAATAAATGCAGGTTTTGATGCTAATAGTTAAATTTTACTACAGCTATGTACAGCTTTTTGAGTAATAAACACAAAAATGCACACAGCATGTTTGCATTAAAACAAATGCTAAATGCAAAAATTGAAATCATTCCAAATTAGTTCCGAAAATTCTATTGCAACATCTTTTACAACTACATTTGATTCTTTCCAAGATTTCCGTAAAACATCGGTTTTTGTTTTTTGAAGAGATTAAAACTTCACAAACTGTCCAATTTGTGTTCACTTCTATTTCTGCAATTGCTCTATTGCTTGAAGTTTGAACAAGAACTCTTAAGTTTGGACACATTTTTGAGAGATTAGACAGAGAAAGCAAGAAAAGAGCATAATGTGTGTTCATAATAGCACGAGATCATACAGATCACCCCACATCCATTAATGAACAATTGATATCCTCTTTGTACGCTGACCAAGCAAATTAAATCAATCTTGCCAGGTGGATGAAAAGAGGGCAGGTAAAACCCTAATAACTAGAGCAATTGCTTATGTGTCAATTTAAAATGCTCAGAGAGAATGGTTAACAAACTGAATAAGCTTCACAATTCCACAAGTATTACACTGAAAATAAGTTACGGATCATTAAATTAAACATATTTAAAGTAATAAAAAACGTGTATAAAACCAAAAAGAGATTTTATGATCTTAGGATTCCTTTCTTTTTATTCTTAATCTGAATAAAACAAAAAAAGCCCCTCAGAAATGTATTCAGGTGCATCAGCTGAGTTGGTTGGTTGTTAGTAATTCCCAAGTGGGTCAACAGCAGAGGTTATTAGTCCCATAAGTGTAGTTATGCTTTTTCCTCCAGAGGTTGACCTTCGCCTTCTGGATGGCGTGATCTTATGACCTACCAATGGCGAGGGTGTCCCTCAACCAGGCATCTCCCACCACAGGGGCACCGCCCCAGCCAGGGCAAGCTCTAAGCTCCAGACTGGTCTCCTGGCATGTGTGGTAGAGTAGTGTATGTTTGTGTAAGTGTGTGTATGAAGTGAGTATAGGACAAGGAAGAGGAAGGAAAGATCACCCATGGTATGTGGCCCATTTGTTAGGGTACTGCTTTGGGATTCACCTGGTGTTGATCGGAGATACCACTAAATACGACATACCAACTACAAATCAGAGCAGCTGGCCTCTATAGAGCAAATTATATACGAATGGGACGTTTTGACAGCTAGTGCTGGCAACATCAAAGGTTCTGATAATTATGTCCTTGAGTCTATTAGACTCCCTCCATTCGTTTCTTTGTTAGCAGTTGGCCAACTTGTAAATGGCTATGACGCTTCCTTTTGGGCAGTACTTGTCTGACAAAAACATAGTGCACCATAAGAAATATATGAAGTTAGCAAGGGCAGAGCAATGTGCTCATTATAAAAAAAGTTACAAAATTGTTATCATTACATTCAATTTAGTTTTTACATGATAAATAAGAGGTTTGTTTTAAAATCGAGTCTTGAATGGGACATGCGTACTGGTGATGGTGCACTTATTTCCGGCTCCTGTATTGTAAGGTAACAAGAGGTGTTCATGAGCATTCACTGTTTAAATGTTTTAATTGGCGAGAGTGAAGGAACGTGCTTATTATTCATTCAAGAAATACGAGATGAAAACAGACCTACTATATAGGTTAAGGAATGCATTGACAAGCAGAACACATTAAATACAAAGCAATTCAATGAAACAAAGCATATTTGAATTATGATAGCATAGTAGTTGAGGTGTAATAATTATAAGTAAACCACTCTTTACTACACAAATGCATGAGCTACTCGCCATGAAACACCCAGAAATGGTATTTGAACATCCCCCGAAAATCATTTTTCTTTCTATTTACATTTGTATCAGTTTTCAGTAAAGAACATGAGAGCATTTTTCCATATATTTAATTTAATTAAATTTCAGTATTTTTCAGTCTCGCGCATATGCTTATCCCTCAGTGAAACTCCTAGACTTCTGTATTGTGATGTCTTCGCGGAAGCCATAAACACACACTTCACAAAGAGGCATGGCTAAACAGCTACCATGGTAGAGGGCTACTTCTCTGAATTACATGTGATGTTCACTTGTTAAGCAAACTTGTTTTGTCTCGTTCTTATAAAAATTGCTGTATAAAATTCTCCTCCTGACAGCGACTGAATTTGACCTAGCTGACAAGCTGTCAAAAATCTTGCCACTGACAGGACTAACCCAGGTCAGAGGCACTACTGTGACATCAGTTGATGCACTGAGCCACCTCACACTTCAGCTGAGGGATTTAATTTACGCTTATGATAGTAATGAAGAGAAAACTGGTCACACATCCTTCAACTAAGTGAAGGATGGGACGCAATTGGCTATTTTATAGGTGAAATTATATTTGCAACTGTGTATTGTGAAAACCTGGGTGAAATTATGTTTTATTGATATCTGAACCTATTACATTAAAAATAAATCTTAAACACTGATTAATATAAAATTGTTTTTCCTCTTTCACAAGGTAATGGTTATGAAAAAAGCTCAGACAATACCAGGTATTTTGCTAGTATATTTATATTTAAAGTAATTTTTAAAAAATCACGTTTTAGGGTAAACCAAAATTATAAGTGTGAAATTCAACTACTATTGGATTTTAAAAAATTGTAAATTTATAAAGAAAATTTGACTTATCCCCATTGGAAAAAATTTGTGACAAGGAAAATCTTGCCCCCACCCTCCTCCTAACTGCTTTTCATCAGTATTTGACACTTGTTCACATTTCGGGAAAAATTGCTAAAAGTAGAATTGAAATAGGACATTAATAATATTACAGAAGAGTTTAACTTGGACTTACATGCAAATTTGCATTCAAAAATTTCAACATTTTCAGAAATTGTTTAAAGCTCATTTTCACAGAAAACAGATTTTGTGAAACTTCATAAGCAATCATTTTAAGCACTTTTACTAACACGTCCCATAATTTACCACAGAACCCTTGCAATATGAATATTAATACCATAAGATGTCAAAAAAATTATGTTTATGTAACTTTAGAAACAAACAAATACATCACAAACTTGTTGAAGTCCTGTTAATCTAGTGCATTGAGCACTATCTGCACAAAAAGTTGTAGAAAAATTTGGTCTTTAAGAAAATCTCATTTTTGGGAGAGGAGAGAAAAAGAGGGTGTAATGTGTGTTCATGATGGTAATTGGGAGATTATGCATGTCACCCACATCCATCAACAAACAATTGTTATCCTCTTTGTACGCTGACCAAGCAGATTAAATCAGTCTTGCCTGGTGGATGAAAAGAGGGCAAGTAAAACCCTAATGACTTAAGAGTCTTTAACATTGTTAACATGTTAATTCAAAATTTTAAGAAGGAAAAATTAACAAACCGAAAGCTTCATTACAATTAATTTACATTTGTAATACTGAATTTTCATACTTGGTGTATCATTGCTGATGATGCAACTGCTGTCATGAGACCATAAAGCTCCGAGGACGAGGCCACTTGAATATTTGCTAGTCACACATTGCAATATGCAACAACTTTTTAATTTCTTGATGAGAAAAACTGTTGGGCTGTGTAAACTAATTCTTCACTGAGTTATTCCGACATTTGTGAAGACAGTTTTTGTTCTATTCATTGCAGTGTTATAAGATAGCATTTTACTGTATTCACTTTAATAATACTCGCACCTAATTTTACAGAAATGAATCACTGAAAAAATTTTTGCACTTTTTTTTTGCAAGAAAATAGTTCCATTAATTTATTACATAGAAGCTGTTCTTAAGCCAATGACGAATGCAACTTCCATCCACATCATACTCCATCATGCAGTTACAAATGTATTCTTTTTCTCTCATACATAATTTTTCTTTCATAGCGAAAGATCGCACTAAGTTTGTAGTGTTATCTGTGGCACATTTCCTCCAGTTCTCATTTTGCTAGATGTGCAAAGATGTGGGAGGTATTTGGACGACAGGACTTTTATATCTAATAGTAGTGATTTTTTTATGCTATCTAGTCTATTACATGGAAGCAAACATTTCTGGTTCAGACTTTGTCAACAACACTATCGGCTATCATTTATTCGTAATTATACTAATGTTAGTAAAGGAGAGGAGGTATGTATTTTGAGACGCAAGAAAACACGCATGTATAATACCATCCTCAATGCAAATACCTGCACCCCAAATCTAGCCACAATTTTATTTAAATATACATGGGTAATACTCAAGAATAATTTGAGCAGTGCGCACACTATTTTTTGGAAAACTATTGCGTGTCTTGTTCAGCAGAACTTTGACCGCAGGCCACTAGTTGTGGTTTAAAATTCTGGTTTCAACATTTTCATATAAGGTTAACTAGGAAATTATTTTGTATTCTACTGCTATTGTTTAAGAAGCTTTCGCCATTGTTGACTATTTATGGTTATTTGACAAATCAACAATAAATGCAGCAGTTCAAACTAGCATGTTTGGTATGTATTGGTTCAGTTAGAAAAATTGGAATTTGAAAAGATTCAATTTATTTTTTGGGTGGTAAAATAACCCAGAAAATACAGGAAATCTGAAAATTACAATGTCAGTTACTAAAATGATGTTTATTTGTATTTCATTAATTAATTCAATAAACGAATTGTCCATTAATTTTAGTTTGTATTGTTCATGGTAGAAATTATGGCCAAAGTCTAGTATATGGCACAACTTCAGAAGTCGTTTAAACCAGCACTTCACACCACTCCGGCAATAACTGTGCCGTTTGAATTCGGAAGGCTTTCTTGAAAAGTGAGGATCTTATGAAGATGAATTGATAATTATGCGATAGACTCAAGGATGTTCATAGTAAATGAGAGGGGCAAAGGCCCAAGCCTCGCCATGACTTGGATCCAGGCGAGAGAAGCAAGAAAATTTGCCATTGAAAGGTGTCACCCAATCAGGTGGTTGAATATCACCTACTTGGGTTTTTATTTCTTGATGCATGAGGACCTATCTTGATGGAATATCAAGATAGCAATTTGAAACTTCCTCAGTTCCACTGTTAGATGTTGCACAATCAAGTTCGCATGAAGCAGAGCTGGCTATCACATGACATCTAGCAGCATGACAAAAAGACAGGAAATAACGTGAGATATTCCATCATGAAGACAGGCAGTCAAGCACCAAGAAATAAAAATCCAAGTTCTCAATTGGAAGACATTAACAGCTGATGATGAGTCAAATGCAGCTAAATAAACTAAAGTATGAAGTAATTAACCTCAATCTGAAACGATTTTCATTAAGTCTGCATCAAGATCAATATCAGCAGTTAATACTTTCATAAAAACTGCAATTTTGCCAACTGCATGTCACTCCCAGTTCTTCCGCGGTGTCGGTGACTAATCTAAAATTTTACACACTTCCAGTGTTACTCCCTTTCTTCCAGAAAATTAATGATTACATTTCAAAGTTATCTGATAGAATTTTGAAAATATTAATTCAGACTTTCAAGTATTTTAATATTGAAAAGTATAAAGATAGAATTGTTCTAGTTGAATGGTACTTACAATAATTTCAATTGTTCCTTTGGAAATTTTAGTGGGGATGGAAAGTGCTTGAAAGAATGAGGTTTTCTCTGGACCAAGTCCTGTATTCTGAGCTGGAATGATTACATTGCAGGGAGCAATTGCACCATTACGAGCAGGAGCACGGACTTTGTTTTCAAGCAACTTATCTCTGATTTCAACCAAATCCCCACGAGTGAAAACAAAACCAACATTGCCTCTTATATGCGGTAACAACCTGCAAAACGATTAATTCATGGAAAATTATTCACATTTACAACAGTCAATGCATTAATCACTAAACCACTACCAATATCCTTAAATTAGTAATATTTAGAGAAAGTAATGTTTTTCTTTTCTGTTAAACCGATTTTTTTATATCGGGTAAATGCGGCTAACATGCTTGAGTACTCATATTGCATTGTTTTGAGACGCAGGTCTTCAAGAGGCAATTTCTGTAGAACCAGGCAAGTACGTGCGGCTTTTGTCTACCTCCAACAAATATGAACCTCTCGAACTCTTGTACTTACTTCTCTAATGCAGGATTACGTTCCAAATGGCCACGAATAGCCTTCCGCATCATGGTGTTTTTGCCCATAAGAACGACGGCGGCCCCTCGTAAACTCATTCGAATTTGCTGCATTTGCTTCGAACCGACATTATCCGCGCCGACGATGAAGCATTTTGGATAATCATCCAACAATTGCTGAAAATTAATATTGGGTACATAATGTGAATTTATCTCAACACATGGCTTCGAGTTCACGAGCAAAACACTAAAAAAATGAAATTAACCAAAAGTTAATATTTTAAACCAGGTGTGTACTTACAATTAATTTGCTGAAGTAGTTAGACTTCCAAGTGGCTTTGTCCTCCCTACCCATCTCGTGTGTAAGGATTTCCCAACGAGAAATTTAAGGACTGCAAATAAATTATTAAATATTCCACATAATTGTATTACTACACTTTAATGACATATTACATATGACGAAAACATCATATAACCCATGATTTTAAAACAATATTCATATTTTACGCAATGATTATTCGAATACATTCCGATTCGTTTGGACTTACCTCAGCCTCAGCACATGCACCGTCAATGAATTCTTCGCCGCCACGCCACGAACCACGATTACGAAGTCGTTCATCAATGAACGAATCATTTTCTGTGATTCAACGACTTCCGGTCTCGTACTAAATTGTGAGTCAGGAATCGGCTGATGAGAGCTGGTGGCAGCACTATCGCTTCTGCGTGGCAAGCAATGTGTATTATAGATCCTACGTGGGGTATTTCACACTTCAATCTTCATCATTTATTCTATCAGAAGCTGGATCCCCCAAGTTAATGTTAAAATTCGGTATATGTGTCCATTTTCATTCAGTGAATTGAGATCATTATTTGTTGGAGGTTTTACTCCGCTATAATATAAAAAAGTTTTTGTTTTGTGTAGATACACTTTCTCGAAGTGAGCTGTTCTTCTTCTCGAAAATAAACTTGTATTTTCACGAGTAGTAGATTGTGGCAAAAGGGGAGCGGCAAGACAGTGATCTCTTTTAGATCCCCTACTGTTTCCAGAAATCAGGAATTAAATTTAGAGCACCTTCGGAACAAAGACGGAACGAAATTTCTGCATTGACGAGACAAAAGATTCAATATTATTATTTCAGGTCTACAATATCCATATAATAAATGTTATATCATCTTCGTAAATCGCAGATCAAGCGTCTAAACATGTTCCTGCCATTCTCAGATGTTTCATCTGCAAATATATGCAGACTTGCAATGATATGAACAACACACTAAAAAAAAGATTTAGCTCTTACAATAAACAAATTTACTTTTTAATCCATTGCTTGAAAGTATTCAACCATCAGAGCATCATAATAAATTATATATGAGACTCTAAGGTATTTTGTATCTCCATGACTTCATTTGTGTAATAGCCATGGTGTACTGCGATTTTCCCAACTCTACCCCCGGCAGGTAACAACTGTTGGCGGTTTCATCCAATCGGAAGTTTAATGTACCATAGTGGTGTCAATATGGTGATGTTCAGACTCCCATTTGGATGAAGACGATGAGCCTCAACGACCTTAGGGACACCACTATGGTGACGTTAAAGCTTAATGAAAGAACTCACTATGGTCAGATAAATTTTATATGAAGGAAAACCATTGTTTTTAATTTTGTAGATGAAGAAAGACGCGGAAAAATTCAAACTTTTACAATTTTCGAAAATTTGGAGACAACCGTGAAAATCGGACTTATGCCACCTTTATAACTGTATTGTACTCTATTCTTACAAGAATTATAAAGTACTCCAAATTCGACCGGGGAATATCAATTTTGGAAAGAATCGAACATAAATATTAGGCCCTAGTTGTGTTCATAAACTGACGGAAGTATTGAAAAACACACTTTTTCGGTGTCAGGGGTTTCAGGTTCAGGTGTCAGTGAGCATTACAAGCGCCTAAATCATACGTAGATTCTTTTGCCAAATTGAAGGTCCTGTCCATTTAGCTCAAGTCGAAAATTTGAGATTTTGAAAAACATTCTTTAAAATTAGGGAGAACTTTACATGAAGCCCTCGGAACATTTTCAAATTTATTCTCAGAAATGGCTTCAATTTTTTTCTTTAAATATCTTGTAAGAATAGAGTAACATACACTCCAAAATGTAGCATAGATCCGATTTTAACGGTTATCTCTGGATTTTCGTAAATTGCAAAAGTTATATTTTTTTTTCGGCGTCATCGTACAACTACATAATTAAAGATTGAGATTTTCCCTTCATATTAAACTTGTAATTCAAAATTGTTTTGTTTTCCTCATTAAGATCATTACATCTTTTTGAAAATTTTAGTAGTTTTCGCGCAATATTTTGTGACAATGTGCAATTTTGAAAAATTACAAAAACAATATTTTCTCAAACAGAGCTCCAAATATTTTCTTTGAACTTTTGGTAGGGATAGTGCTAAATGCACTCTATAAGATGACTTAAACGACATATTACTTTATTCCTATGTTTTTTCAAAAATTACAAAAAATGTATTTTTTTACTTGTCTCTCATGTTGTTAATATTTATATTAACGGTAATTTGTTCACATTATTATATTTATGAGTGCATGTGGTTATATAATCTTTTATTAACTTTCTAAAAAATTCCACCGTTTTCAGTAAAAATTAGCTCAAAATCCCGCATGTTGCGAAACGCGTTTCACGTGCATATCAGTGAAAACGACATTTTCTCAAAAAGGTTCCTAATTTTTCTTAAAATTTTTCCAACAGATTGTGGTAATTTCATTTTTTATCAAAATTTACACAAATGTAAATTTTTTAAGATATTTCACGCCGTTGATATACACATTTCCAACAATTTGTAACCACTATTGTATTTGAGAGTTAAAGTACTTCAAATGACTTCAAATGAAGTTTTTCGAAAATTTTCTTTGAAAAAGTGATTCAAATTTTGAATAAACAGTAGCGCTAACGCCAGTTTTTTGAAAACGGCTTCAAATTTTTTAAAGATAATTGACATTTAGGACGAGGTGTTACTCGTCTTTAATAATCTCAAAATAATATTTTCGCACTACAATTAGGTAACCGAAAAATTAAGAAAGTGTCGAAAAAATGTACTTTAGGCGGCGATAGGCCGCTGGCCGCTGGCAAGAGTACATGGCCGTCGGAGTAGCTATCCGAGACCAAAGGAAATAGAAAACTAATACGGGAAAGTCTGTGCTATTTTGTTGCTCCGCTGGTTGATATCTCGTATAGTTTCTGAGTTAGGGTGCACAGTTTGAATATCTGATGAACAAGTAAAAAGTTGCTCTGGAGCTGTAAAAATGGTAGTTTGAAGCAAATTTGAAAAACATGCCCCGCGATTACACCTCACATTTTGATGAAATTTTGTAATTCGAATCCTTCATCTCAAAGGATATTTTGAAAATGATGATCAAATTTTGTAATTCGAATTCTCATCTAATTCGTGTGATGTAAATGCAGATTTACCCCGACCTTAAAGCGAAAAATAAAACTGTGTTAGGTTAGGAACATAACGATGACTGTACAAATGATCCAAAAGACAATTTTCGCAAACCGTATGAACCGTATAGGCAACTATTATTGTCCCTACAGTTTCATCTACAGAGGAAAGGTTTCAATTACTTAAAGAGTAAAGGTGATACATTTAATTTCGTATATGTCTTCAACAAACTAGCAGAAAGAAAGAAATCAGACATATTTAAAAATTGAGTGGATGTATAATTTAAACTGGCAAATGAAACTGATACAGATAGCCGAACAGATATAATCATGAAATTTATCTAATCAAATTCATCACCAATTGAAGTATTAGAATTCATCAAAATAAACTAATTATCGTGCCTATTACCGTAATTTTCCATTTTTAATTAACTTTGCCAGTTGCAGTAGCCACCGGGAAAATATCATTTTCAAAATTAAAAATTATACGAGCCTGCGATGAAAAACCTTTTTTGAAAATTTCAACTGTCCCTCGTGTATTTTTCTTTGCTGAAATCGAAAATGTAACTAGTAATACGCACGCACATTTTTTCACAAATTGACAATAATTGTGGCAACGAGAATGTTTCAATAGCTGTGGGGCATTCAGTTCACCTCAAAGAAACTTCCGAAAATCTTAAACTGATCCTTACAGTACGACAACCATGACTAGGTGATATGCGAAGATCTGAAGATTTTGTGCATGCTTCTTGGAAAACAGTCTGGGTGGGAAGTTTCCGTGTTTACTTTGCAAATAGAATAGCATTGCGATAGTCCACCACTGGGACCAATCACAATAGGGAGTTTGTGCACACTCGAACGTTAAAACACTATCGATCTTCTGCGCATGCGCAGTTCAAGATTCGCATCACTTTTGTGCAATTGCGCATGCACAGAAGATCGATATTGCTGTCTGCTATGGCGTGCACAAACTCCTTAATGGCCCTCAAGAACTTCTTTAGAACCAGAAAGTAAGAACATATTAAGGAAAGGGCTTGTTGAAACAAAGAACATACTGCTACTACTGCCGCCGCCGCCGCCGCTGCCGCTGCTGCTGCTGCTACTACTACTGCTGCTACTACTGCTACTACTACTATTGCTACTACTACTGCTACTACTATTACTACCCCTGCATATAAAATTAGGATGCATGAAACAGTTCATTTTAGTGCTTTAGCTCTGACAAAATATGGGATGTGCTTTAAATATCTCCTACATCTGTCAGGTAAGTTCCCACACCTTTCAGAAGCCAAGATAAGGAAGGAACTTTTGTTTGACCAGTTATAAGAAGACAAATGTTAGATGCATTTACCATCATGATTACAGATGTTGAAAAACTATCATAGATTTCCTTTAAAAAAGTGGTTAAGAATTAGATGGTGCGTGGTTTCGTTGTGGCCCGGACAGTTGTGACGAACTGTGAGAAGTTAAATGTAACTTCTCTGGCGGCTTGGATGGATTGCGCGGTGAATTGGGACATCTTCTGGAAGGACGGCATTTTGGCTTGTACCTGATGATTCTTGGATTTCAGTTGTTGGAACAATAACGACAGGTGTTAATTGTACGAATTGTTGTGATGTCCTTCTGTTTACTTCTGAATAATCAACAGTTCAACCTGGCGACGAGAGTGAAGCAAAATCCATGGAGGATATTTTGAGGCACCTCTTGACATTACAGCAGCAGCAAAAGCAACAACAGTTTCAGCAGCAGCAGCAGCAGAATCAGGTGTTGCTCGAGTCAAGAAAATCTTTGTTAAGATTTTCCAAAATTTGAACAGGATAAAGAGATATGGACTCCATATTATGCTAGGCCGAACCATATTTTTTGTATCATGGCGTCACAGATGAGGTAAAGAAAAGTTTTTTAGTATCTCGGGGAGTAAATTGTATGAACTATTACAGAAACGTTTTCTGTTAAAGCGAGTGGAGGAAGTGGAAATCCCGCAGTTGATAGAAAAATTGTCTTTGCATTTCGAAAGGAACCTCATGTAGAGGCGGCGAGATACAGTTTTTTTTCAAAAGTATGATCAAGCCGGGTTACTCGCACAAAGAATAGGTAACGGAGTTGACAGGTTTATCAAGGGACTGTGGTTTCAAATGTTGATGCTTTATATGCTGAGGTTTATCTTATGCTGAGTTCTAGAGTTATGATAGTGCAAC